AAAATTAAATTGTGTTATCAAGTTGTGAGTGCAACTTTTTTAGTATGAACATCTGGTTAAACATGTTAAAGCTAATGCTAGAGTTAGATTTAATATCTATGCTATATTATCAACCCTGGTGTCTATAATTATAGCAGCACTTTCGTTATACACATGACCATATCAAATACAACAAAGATTGTATCACTCGAGCTGTCTATGATGTGTTAAGGGAATTTTATTTCTATTAATAATTTTTTTTTATCTTTTTTTTTTTCAGAACTTGTGTGGCCTTTGCCCACAAAAACCTTTCCTTTGCAGTAACAGAATAAACTTACATGCCTTACTATCACAAATGTATATTGTACTTTTTAAATTTAAGAGGACTGGACTATTGTTTGAGTACTTGGTATCACATTGAACTCTGAGGGCTGCAAGCCTAGATCACAATGCACTTGGTTTGTGACATTATTACTGGTATTTCTGAGATGAGATGAAGACAAAGGTCATGTGCATTTGGCTACCATGTACAACTGCTTGTGCGCTCTGTTATAGCTGATTTGATGTCAACCATTTTGTAGGTGTTACTGTAAAAGGGTTAATTATTCACTGGGTTTCAATTTTGCTTATTTCGCTGACCGGAAAATGCACTAAATTAAAACCCAGTGTATATGTAATATTTAGCATAGAATACATTATTTAAATGATAAGACCCGTGAATTTAAAACACTGAATATGCCTGAAATGGTAAATCAGTGAAATTTAAACCCGGTGAAAATTAGTCATTTTACATTAATTGTAAATTGATTGCCACTTAATTTAGTACTTAATACTGGTACATTAGCAAAATGTCAGTTGAACGAAACCCTGATGCAAATGCAAACTTGGTTTACATATCATAAGATTTTTCTCCTTGCCTTATGCGCTCACTGTCATGAGTAAACTCATTTTTTTTTTTAATTTAATAAATATCTCAAGATGAATTAGTAAAATTACATTATAATGTATATGAGAAATGTTTCCCATTTCTTGCTTTTTGTTTCATAATTATCACATTTACGAATATTCAAAATAAATCCAAAGTGCATCCAATATCCAATGGGATAGCAAACAATCTGTATTTAAAACATTCAACCACAGCTTTCATCTCATCACAGTTTGATAAACACGAGTGATCATTAAAAAAAACTACAATAGTACATGAACCTTTATACCTTCTCTTTTAACTCATTGTTGTATGCTCTCAATGTATACACAAATGTGCGTAATCCTATAAACTTATCACATGTCAATCTTCAGCTTGAGGGAGCTTCAACTAATAAAACAAAGAGCAACTTTTTTTTTTTA